GCTGGCCTTAGCCAACCTCCCACCAAGATAGAGGAGGACCAGGATTCTGACTCACACCCACCAAGATACAGGAGGACCAGGATTCTGACTCACACCGACAAGAACCCATTTCATGGCTCCAAGGGCGGACGGTGAGCTCTCCCTGCAATCAGGTGGGGTTCGGGCTTTATGGCTCTTTCTTTCTTTACAGCGGTACCCAGGTTGAAACTCAGGATGCTTGACAGGCAGGGGCTGTACAGCAGAGCAGCCCTTTGGCAACTGATGATATTTGAGAGTTCTACTTCTTGCCTGAGCCACAATCTGCCTGTAGGCTGGGATGACCGGCACTTACCACCATGCCCAGTTTTGCCTGTTGACTGTGCGTCTTGGGTGTTTTTCTGTCAGGCTGGCTTGGAACCTTGATCCTCCTCATTTTAGTCTCCCATATGCCCAGGATTATAGATATGAGCCACCAGCCTTTGGACTTTGCATTTCTTAATCATAAAGCAGACATGCTTTAATGATTAGGGGCAACCGACTTTGGAGGGGTGTTAGCATAAATAAAGGTCTAGGATGGAAACGGACATGGCAGATTTTCAAGAACTTAGAAATGAATAGGCAGGGCACTGCTGACATACAGAAAAGACAGAGAAAGACTCACCTGCGGGCCTGGGGTGCGGCTTGGTCAGCAGAGCACGGGGGTGGGGGTGGATATCAGATCCCACGTCCTTGCTCAGGCAGCTCTGCCAGGGCGACGTCTGCGCCCACAACTCACATCACTCTCCTCTCTCTCCTCTCTCATGTCCTGCCCCGCAGCAGGGTGACACCCAGACACTTCAGAGGGCTGGCAGGCCTCCCCTCTGTCCCTCAGCTGCTTGTTTCTGGGCCTAGCTGCAGCTAGGCACGCTCTTCAGGCAGGCCAAACCAGCTCCCACCTCCAGGGCTGTGTGCCCGCAACCTCTCTGTGGATCCTCTTCCTCAAGATGATGCTCTCACCCTCTCCAGGGTCCTCCATCTGCCAGGCCTCCTTCCCGTGATGGGTCAAATAACCTCCACACCTCACCCCTCTCTGTCTGCCAGGCCCAAGGTTGATTTTCTTCATGCGACGTCTCTCCTTGCCATGCAGGTGTGCTGAGGTACACAGCCCGAGCTTTGTGATGGAATGCATTTTGTTTCGTTCACGGAAGGTGTTTGTGAATTAGGTATGTGGTGAATCTAGGCAATTTTATATGCTCACTCTAAGTTTCATACAATGTGTAAGTCAGAATGTGCTAAACTTGCCTTAAAGTTTTCTGTGGTGCCCAAGCAGGAAGTGTGTAGAGAAATCCAGTGTTTCCTCTTGAAGCTGTGGAAGGATCATTGGCTTGGATGGGTAGCGGACGAAATAGCTCCTCTCTGCTTGCATCCACTACCTGAACAAAAAAGAAAACCACGAAGCAACATTGTTGAAACCCTGGCTGTGGTGTTGAATCACAAAACATCTTATTTACTACATTTTTGCTTTACTGATTGCTATGAAGTTCTGTTAAACTAGATTTGCACTCATGCTACAAGCCCCTCTACATGAATATTCTTTTTCATATTTATTTAAGCAGGGTTTTTTTGTACCTTGCCCTCTTAGCTTTTCTTTTCTGATCAAAGGTAAAGCTTTGTCACTTCCAACTTTTTGCTGATTAATTTGGAGATAAAAAAATCTCACAGGGTTGAGCTACTATCTTCAGATCTCAGCCTCCTGAGGAGCTAGGATTATAGGCATGAGCTACCAGCACCCAGCTTCAGTTATTTATGTATTACTTGTTTGTTTCTGTTGTTGAAGAATCTAATACCTCAGGAGGAATTCACCATCAATGAAGCCAGAATTATTTTCCCACTTATCACCCTACTGCTAAAGCTAACTGTTTATGTACAGACTCCTGCCTTGATGTGGGCTATTAGCATATTAAAGTATATTTACTGAAACCAGATCCACGATTTGAAAGACATATAATTTAAATATCCATGAAAATTCAAACATGAATTCTTTGAAAACAGTGTAATTGAGGGGGGGAAAGTTAAAATGACACTCTTAGCTAAATTGTTTTTTCCCTAATTTGCACTCATTGTGAAGAGCTCTTAACATGAGATTAAGACAAATTTCTTGAACTTCTTGAAAATTTCGAAGTGTGCCCCACAGTCTTGCAAACTGAAGGCACAGTTGTGTGTGACACACTGCTAGGAGTTATTTATCTTGCAGAATAGAGACTCAACAGCCATTTCCGCCACTGCGGTGGCCATTTTAACTCTGATTCTATGAGTTTGACTCTTTTAGGCCTTTGTATAAGTGAAGCCTTGCAGTGTTTGCTGTACAAGCGATGGAATATTATTCAGCCTTTCAAAAGAAGGTTAACTGCTTCTGCAACAGGCACAGTTGACTCCACTTAATTCTAGACACACAGCAGACTAGTCTTACGTTGAATCTGAGATTGCACATATATTATGAGTTACCATAGTTATAAACAGTTCATTCACACCCATGTGTGCATGCACACACACACACACACACACACACACACACACACACACACACACACACACACACCGGAGCTAAACTTTTCCTCTTTGGATTTCTTTTTCTTTTTTTTAAAGTTGAAGTTTACAATATCCTTATATAATATGTATCCTTACTACAGTTGAACTGCAGCTTCTCCCATGTTTCAAACTGTGTTCAAACCCTCCATGTCACATCCCCTAAGGAATCGATCCTGGTTTGCCTTTCCCATCCGTCAGCAACTGCCAGTTTGCTTTTTGCCTCTGCAGACTCACCCGTTCTGAACACGCAGTAGAAAAGGGATTTGTTCAATTTTTATTTAGTATGTTCAATGTGTTTTGGGGGTTCATCTAAGTTGTAGTTGTGTTAATACTCTGTTCCTGTGCATTGCTGAATAATACCCCTTGAGCCCATCACAGTTTCTGTCTCCATCATCTACTGCTGGGCATGTAAAACTGTTTTTTATTTTTGGATACTACATGTTGTGCTAAGATAAATGCTGTGTGTATGTTTCTGCGGGGACATGATTTCATTTTCTTGGGTGTACCCCTAAGAGTAGAATTGCTGGTTCCTACGCTAGCTCTGTTTAACTTTTTCAGGAAGTGTCAAACTTTCTCCTGGTGACGACTTCATTTATACTTCTTTCATGCCTACAATCCCCTCACATCTCCAGATCCTCACTAACACTTATTTTTACTTTTTTTTGGGGGGGGGGTCTGTTGGGCTTGAACTCTGGGTCTGGGCGCTGTCCCTCAGCTCTTCAGTTAAGGGCATGTGCTCTACCACTTGAGCCACAGCGCCACTTCTGGTTTTCTGAGTGGTTTATTGGAGATAAGAGTCTCATAGACTTTCTTGCCTGAGCTGGCTTTGAACCGAGATCCTCAGATCTCAGCCTTCTGAGTAGCTAGCATGACAGGCGTGAGCCACCAGTACCCAGGTCTTTGATTTTTAATTAAATCCACCCTAGTAAGTATGAAGTGGCCTCTCATTATGGTTTTGCTATTTTTGTTTTCTCTTTCTTTACTGGGCAGTACTAGCATTTGGATTCAGGGCCTATGGTCACTAAGAGGCTAGCCTCATTGTACTCTGCCTAGATATTGGCCAAGAAGGCCTCTTGTGTGTTTGTCCAGATGGCCTAGGACCAACTTCGTCTCAGCCTCCTAAGTAGCTAGAATTACAGGCATCAGCCTCTAGCACCTAGCTTAGATTGACATTGTTTTCCAGCTGGTTTCTTGGGCGTTTTATCTCAGTGTTGAACACAAATACCTTCCCATCAGTCTCTAAGTCTCCAGGACCTTTGTCTTTACAGGCTTATTAATGCCAATAAACAAAATCTCTTACACTGAACTCCTTTTAAGTGCCCCGCTTCTGTAGGCCGGGTACGCAGTATTTGTAGAATGTAATTGAAAATAAGGGGAATTTTATTCTAGTGAATTTAATTTTTAACACACAGGCATTCCAACAGCTCACATCCATTTTGCTTGATAGAGCAACAATGCACTGGGGTGGATAAGATAATCTCATTTATCAAAGCACTTATTGCAGAATGTAGCATGTAGTAACCCAACTTTAATATCTGTTTAAAATGTTTCCTCTTTGCTGGAACCGTCCGTCTTGTTTGCTTCTCAGGAAACAGGGTCAAGAAACGCTGCGGTTGTCCTGCTCGATTGCCCTGGTTAAATGATTAGGTGAGCTCTTGGCAGGTGCTCCGGATCCTGCCCAGCCAGCCCCTTCCTGCTCTCCACCTGCCCAGGTCGTACCCCCTCCGGGAGTGAGATGTGACAGTTCTGAAACTGTGTGGGGTTTGCATGTATACCACAGTGGACTAGAGGAGTCTAGGAGGAGGAAGTGAGGCCAGCGTCCTTCCCTGTGGGCCCAACTGCAGACACAGAGAAGGGAGATTCAGTTCTTGTACTGGATTGCTGAAGGGAGGGGGCCGGTACAGGATTGTGAGTGGGTACAGGTGAGCTGGGTGTATAGCGGCTCTAGTTTCTTCACATGTGTTTGTTCCTCTGTGATTATCATTGCAGTCGGCATTAATCAGATTCACCTTCGGTGCCAGGCATCCTGAATCGAATCCTTGACAATGGATGTATTCTCAAATCACACAGAAGGGAGGCAACTTGCCCCCCAAGTCCTGCTAGGTCCTTGATCAAATCCTTGAGCAGTTTGTCCTTGGGCAGCTGATATGAGATATGCTCATCATATAAGTCAACTTCTCCTCCTCCACCTCATTCTAATGCTTTTGGGGGAACAGTTTCCTGAAGCAATCCAGGCCACAGAAACTGGCATCCTCGGATTGAAGCTGAGGGTTGTGGGGGGTCCAAGGCTGAGCAGCAGGCCAGGGAAGCCTCAGGAAAAGGCCTGTAACTCTTTAACTAGGATCGCCTCACTTCCTGTTGTGACTAAGCCTCTCAGGTACGACCTGGGCAGGTAGAGAGAAGGAAGGGGCTGGCTGGGCTGGGCAGGTGGAGAGCAGGAAGGGGCTGGCTGGGCTGGGCAGGTGGAGAGCAGGAAGGGGCTGGCTGGGCAGGATCCCCGAGCACCTGCCAAGAGCTCAGTTAACCATTTAACCAGGGCGATCCGGCAAGACAGCCGCAGCATTTCTTGACCCTGTTTCCTGAGAAGCGAACAAGATGGACGGTTCCAGCAAAGAGGAGGAAGAGGAGGAGGAGGAAAGCACATTCACCACCATTTCCCTAGCAGATGATACAGGTAAAGAAGACAAGGATATGTTCTCAATGTTTGTTTGTTTTTTAATTGAGCATTTGTTTTCCTTATTACAATAGTAGACATACTCATCATAGAAAGTTTGAAAAATAGAGCTACAGAAGCAGTTTTTAATTAAGAGCTGTTTTTCTTCCTCTTTTTACATTAAGTGATAATTTTTAAGATTCCCATGGGGTTTGTTACATAGGTTTTTTAAATTTGATCAACAAACAGAAAGTTTAAATGTTCATTTCCTGTAAGTTCAGGAAATACAACCTCAAAGTTATTGCTAATCCTATGATTTTATTGCCTTTATTGAGTTATAGTCCAATTATTTTCTACTTTATCAAAACATACTGTCATTTGTGAAAAATGATGTAGTATATTCTACAAGGAACTTGAAGAATTCTTTCTGACAATAAGGACAAAGTTCACCAAATTTAACAAAGGAAGAGTGAAACCGGTTTTTCTTTTCTAAGATTCAAATGGGAGGAATAAGTGTACCTCATTCAATATTTCAGAGCAAATAGTGCTGAATTGTGTGATATTAAAAAGAAGTACTTCAAATCTAAAGCCCCCAAATCTTGGTGTGTGTGTGTGTGTGTGTGTGTGTGTGTGTGTGTGTGTGTGTGTGTGTGTGTGTGGTTTTCTGCCCAATTTCCTTCAGTACAATAATAGCAAGAAGCCAGCAAGACTGCAACTAAGCCATGGGGGCTGGTGATTTTGATTAACAGCGAGCAGAGCATGAATATTTAACAACAAGCACTCTTTCCTGCAGCCATGGTTCTCTCCTTTCTCTCTAACTGCTCGGATTCCAAAACGTGTCTTTCTAACGTGCAGCCAGACACTTCCCAGGATCCACCTGGAGCTCCGAGCCCCCGCCCTGCATCCACATGCCGGGGTCTCTGGGAAGGAAAGAGAGGGCATTTTAGCTTTCCTAAGAGGGGGAAGGGCACAGGTCTGGGGACTGCTGAGCAGGTGGAATGTTGCTATCTGTTCGGTGCTGTTCTCACCAGGGTGTTTTAGAAAATGACAGAGCTGCTGAAGGCTGTGAAGAAAGCAAAGACAGAGGGACACGTGCTTCTTAGCCAATGGAAGGCAGCGCAGCAAACCTCCTGAGCCACAGAGCCCCATACACCGTGGGTGCAGGCGGTGCCACTCCCGTGTGTGTGTTTGCTCAGAACACAGCTCAGCTCACAGTTCTTCTGCACTGTAATATGGGCAGAGGTAATGAAAAACCGTTGGAGGTGTTGAGCCTGTTGTGTTTTCTTTTGTCGTGGTGGGGCTTGAACTCTGGGCCTGGGTGCTGTCTCAGTTCTTCAGCCCAAGGCTAGCTCTCTACCACTTGAACCACAGCGCCACTTCTGGTTTTCTGAGTGGTTTATTGGAGATAAGAGTCTCATGGACTTTCGTGCCCAGGCTTGCTTTGAACCGAGATCCTCAGATCTCAGCCTCCTAGGTAACTAGGATTACAGGTGTGAGCCACTGGCACTGGCCTGAGCCCTTTTAAAATCATTCTTATCTACCCTTAACCACACCCTTAGATTTAAAACTTCATACACTTGCTGTCTTTTGTGATGAGAACACTTGAGATCTACCCTGTTAGTAATTCTAAGTATATAATACACTGTAGTCACCACTATCTACAAATTCATTCTTCCTCACTGAAATTCTCATCCTTTCCACAACATCTCCCCCAATCTTCTACTTTCCAACTGCTGGTCACCCCCATTTTATTGTCTGTTGCAAAGAGTTTGACTTTTTTTTTCTAGATGCTATCCATAAGTACTGTCTAGCCTCTCTCATCCAACATGATCAACCACTGATTCTTGTGGACTTGATGCTGAAAATGTCACCCAAACCTGCTTTGCTCCCTCCCTGCATGAACCCCAGCACTAACCTCTCAGCTATCTCAATTCCTATCTTCCCACGTCTGTCCTCACCTTGACCACAACCCTCCCCGCTCTGCAGTGAGCAATCAGAACCCACCACATCTTGCTGGGTGAAGTCTGACCCTGAGTTGGGCTCCCTGGCCCAGGCCCTTGCCCGGACTTCAATGCCACTTCCTGACCCACAGTGTGGTCCCAGTGGGAGACACTTCATGCTCCGTGTACCATTTATGCCTCTGCTTTTGGCTGCCTCCCCCTTGGCCTGGACTAATATCACAGGCCTTGGTTCTTGGCTGGCCAGGTCTGGCTCCCGTAACCCCGCACCTCGAGCTACCCCATAACCCTTCACTAGGTTCATCCCTTAACACCACACTCCTCTCCTCCAGAAAACCTTTCTTTCATCTCCCCAGACTATTAGGAATCAACTCAGCAAGGAAAGATGAAATTTATCCGTTCTATTCCACAGCACCAGTGTGTATGTGTGTGTGTGTGTGTGTGTACATGTGTGTGCAAGTGTATGAATGTGTGCAAGTGCATGCATGAGTGTGTGAATGTGTGAGTGCGAGTGTGTGTGAAGACAGATTCTACCCAACAGACTTAACTTCTAGAAGACGGAGGCTGGTTTAGGCACTCAGCCTGTATCAGTGCCAGTTTCAGGGCCTGTCACTAGTATAGCACCTGAAACACTGCCATGGATTCTCAACACTTTTGTTATTGTGTGTGTGTTTTTTTTTTTAATTTTTGATGCCCGTACTGTGGCTTGAATTCAGTGCCCGATGCTTTCATTTGGCTTTTTGTGCTCAGAGCTGGTTTTCTACCAGCTGGTTAATTGGGTTGCTTTGCTCTGTCTCAGCATCCTTCGTAGCTGTGTCTGTGTGTGCCCTGCAAAAGGGCCAGCATGGCCAACCCCAGCTGACTCCGCTCCTGGAATCCGCCTTCCTACATTGCTTCTACCTTGTTTAAGCTTCTTTGCCACCTCCACGTGAGGGTCAATTTAGTTCTGTTTCCAGAAGGCATTTATTGAGCAGCTACTTGTATAGGTGATGTGTTGGCAGGATCTGCCCGCTGGGAGACTTGGCACAGGCAGAGTGGCAAGAAGGGCTCACGGCAGGAAATGCCCGCAGTCAATGTGTTACGCTCACACGGTATCTCACCTCCCTGAGCCTCAGTGTGCCCCATCGTAAGAGGCCTCAGAACCCCTTTGAAGTCTGCGTTGGTGAGGGAGGTGTCCTGAGCTGGTCCTGCACACGGGGAGCATGTGGTGTATTCATTTCCTCCGCTCCCTATTCAAGGAGCTCAGAGGAAGGGTGCGCATCCATCTGTTCCCATGGTAACGATGGGGTCCTGTGGACATTGTCCTCCAAGCCACGACTGTGTCCTGTGGACACTGTCCCCCAAGCCAGGGCGGTGGCGGTGCATGTGAGCCAGCTCTCGGCTGAAGAGCACGGTTCTTTTCTGCTCTGCACAGCAGAGCCCCGCTGGCCCCTTGGCCGGCCCTCTGCACCCTCCCGTCCACAGCCTGTCCACTGCTCTCCTTTGTGACCCGGCCTGTGTCCTGACCCTGCTTTGGAAAGTTGCTCTTCACTCACAGTCAGAACCGGGCCTGGCTGCTTTCGGCGTTAGCCAATTAGCCCCCATTGTCAGGTTGTCATGTTTCCTGGACAAGTGGCACAATTGCTGTGTGCTTTTATTCCGTGCCACACTCCAGCGCTGTACAGAAACTGTAACAGTGCCCTCTCGCGCCTGAGGCGGCAGGCTGGGTCTGGAAGCTTCCCGAGGGCCATCTGCCACGCCGTGGCCCGGCAGGGCAGGCCCCGCCTTGGTCAGCAGGCCCAGGCTCCTTTCCATCTCATCCACCCATCACGTCCACGCTAGATGAGGAAGGGAACGGATGTGTGCTGCGGCGAGAGGGAGCTGAGCCCTGCAAGAGTCTTGTCCTGGACAAGAGTGAACGGAATGGTTCACAGGTGGCACCTGACTTCTCCATGTCGGCCGTGGCCTGGTGGTAACCCTGCCGGGGGAGGCAGCGTGGCCGGCTGGACGCACCATGGAATTGCCTGTGTCCAGTGAAACAGACCAGGCCCATCTCTGTTCGTGCTCCATCTCCTTGTAATGAATTTGGCTGAGAAGATTCATTTCAGAGATCATTCAGCCGGATGCCAGTGGCTCCCACTTGTTATCCCAGCTACTCAGGAGGCTGAGATTGATCTGGGGAATCGAGGTTCAAAGCCAGCCCAGGCCGAAAATGTGAGCCTTTTATCCATAATGAAGTAGCAAAAAAAAGCCAGAAGTGGAGGTGTGGTTCAAGTAGTAGTACACCAACAGCCTTGAGCACGGCAAGTTAAAAGAGTGCCGGATCAGATCCTGAGTTCAGGCTACAGTACAGACACCGAAGAAGCCAGCCTGGGAAGACAAATTGGAGAGACTCTTATTTCCAATGAACCAGCAAAAAGCTGGATGTGGAGGTGTGGCTAAAGGTGGTAAAGCACCAACCTTGAGTAAAAAAGGCAAGTGAGAGAGTGAAACCCTAAGTTCAAGCCTCTTGTACCAGCACATAGTATATAAACATGTATACACACACACCCATGTATCCACATGCATGTGTATATATGCATACGTGTGCATGCATATGCATGCGTGCACCTATGCATATATGTATGTGTATACACATATATCTGTATGTGTAAATGTGTATGTGTCATTCAAAGGCTATTCAAGATAATTCTCTAGTATGGTGGGAAATTGAAGTCTTCAGTGGAATCAAACAAATATTTTATACCAGCAACGGGAGAATTTTCAACGGATCTTAAATTGGCATTTGGGATCCATGTGTGTATAGATAGCACTGGCATTGTGGAACATCTGTCCCTGGAAGCTGCGGAGAATCGGCACAGCGGTACGGGGAATACCGGCCTTGGCCCAGCAAAACGCCTTAGGCTTTGTGGGGAGGAGGAGGTGGGTGTGTATGGGGGTGTGTGAGTAGCTTCTCAAAGCTCCTGAGGCTCCAGTGCTGGGGCCGAATATATTGCTAGAAACGTCAAGTGTTCTTTCTAAAGAAACACTGAACACTTCTTTCAGGAGAAATCCAGTTAGCTGAAATGAATCATCTAGGAAAGA